TACATTCCAAATATTAGGTACATTCCAAATATTACAAGATTTTAAATTGCTCACATTCTGCATCCATTGTCAAGCAAATGTGATAACCACTACAGGGCTAAAATATTCATGGAGCAGTATTTGTAGCATAAACTATTGGGTCAAAACTGGGGAAATGCAAGAGGGAGTTTTTTAAAAAAATATTTTAAATCTGTTTGTTGTACCTACATATATATGCTTTTTGATATTTTAAATACACACATGCATACTTTGTATACATCTTTGTGTACCTATAAACAATTGGCAATTCTTTCCTCATTCAGAGAGTTATGCAGGTATGTTATCAGGGGAATTGTCTGTCAGGGCACCAACAATGCAGCCCAGGGGTGAAATTCAAAATTTTCCCCTACCGGCTCTGTGGATGTGGATGTGGACATAGCTTGGTATACTTGGTATAATAGTAATAGCAACCGGGGCTATTTTTTACCAATTCAAATTGTCCCTACCACCTCTCCCGAGTTGGGCTAAGGTGGTTGAATTTCACCCCTGATTTGCAGCCTATCAGTTTTACAACTTAGACCAGGCAAGGAACTTGACTAGACGAGCTAATTCTACTTTATTGCATTAACAGAAACTTGCAAGTCTGAATGTACTTCTCCCCACCCACCTCTTTAGAGAGAGGATTTTTTCCCCCTGAGCCTCTTGCTCCAGCCACATTCTTGCTTTGTGCTAAGCTGCCTTTTATCTCACCATTCCCTCATTGCCCTGTCTTTCAAGGTCATTCCTCTACTTTTGACAGGTTCTTGCTAAAAAATTCCAATCCAGACAGATTTTTCTTAAACCGGCTTAGAGTTTTACCACCATCAGCATGGGACAGGAGAATCTTAAGAATGCAGGGTGGAATGGGCCCTGTGTCTATCCATCTTTCTATTTCTGCAAGAAAAATTAGCTGTAATACATTTTTCATATTCTGGAAGATCAAGCCTATCATAGACACTTTCTCATATCTCTTTCAATGACTTCATTTTATTGGCAGCAGTATGGAAATGGTTCACTGTTGCTTTTTTAATGGGATGGTTTTTGATTTATTATTTTAGCCTACAGGCCTGATACTCCCTGAAGGTTTCTCACGCAAAGACTAACCAGGTCTGACCATGCTTAGTTTCTGAGCGTGGACAAGGTGAACTGGTTGCTTCTACCTCTGACTGAAAGGTAGGGGGGCTTTTTTTAAAAATCTGAGGAAAACAAATTGCTTTGAAATTAGGCTTCCAGGTTCAAATATTAGTATGAAAAAGAAGAGAACCAGTACGTCATAGCCATCATTTTATCTTTAAACAAAAAAAACAAAAAATAGGCCTTGCCTAGAGATAAGAATTTTGGAACATGCTGTATTTACAGCCTTATTCTCTGGACCTCTTTAAAAGGCTGCTAACATATTCCTTTTTATGTCAAATATATGATGGAGCTCCTTTGAATAAAGAGTGCAATTGAAGCAAAAAAGCAGATTGGACTTTTCTTTAAGAAAATGGGAATGTAGAAATTTGATAAGTACAGAGAAATAATGTGATTGTAGTTACCTTTTCCTTCTTAACATGGGATGAAAATCACCTAATACCTAAAGAGATAAAAAGAATGTTATATTCTTCATCTATAGGTAAAGTTTAATTGCTGATATACACTTTTTCGTATCTACTATTATAATCACCATCATCATTATTATTTTTCTGTCAGTTGGAAATCTTAACCCGACAACACTGAATTTTACCCTGCACAATTTCAGTGACAATTGCTGGCGCTATTTATAGATATATAAATAGTATATTTATATGTAAGTATACTGTTTGTGTGACAAATCAGTACTAAATGAACTGGATTAAAGAAGCCTGGGCTTTTTGTAACAGGCAGGAAAGTGAGTGTGCTCATGGCACAAACCTATTCATATAAGCTACCTATTTAGCATCTTGGCATAATTCTAAGATCCTATGATCTGCATAGGAGTAGCCAAGAATGCTGGCAAATGCCATCAGAGTGGGGAGATGTTAATGATAATGAAGACAAGGCAGGAAAGAAGGCAACAACAGCTTTGCTTAAAGCACTCAAAATAGGTTTCCCAGAGAGACAGAACAGTGGGAGGAGGTTACTATTGCTTATTGCCCTTCTGGCACAATGTGAGCGTATCAAAATAGAACCAGATTTCTGGAACGTGGATTTTCTTCATCAAACATGGCCCTTTGTTCAACTTGCTGTTTCATTTAATGTCTTGAAACAAAATCTACTATCATTTTAATTAGGTAGATTTTTTTTTAAAATCTGACAAACATAAAGCTGAAAAGAATGGTCAGGAGAGGGTGGAAGAATGCTCTTGGAAAGGTTAGATGTAGAACCTTTGGCTACCATGTTAAAGTAAAACTTTTCACTGTCATCTCTGAAAATTTATGTTTTCCCATTAAGGATGTAGCCCCTTCCATCAATGAGGAATTGTATGGAGATTCTGTATATGATTTTGACAAACAGAGAGGGTTTCAAGACTACCCTTACAATTAAATAGAATGAGACAGTCACCGCTGGTAGATTTGAATTATCGTGAGAATTGTTAAGCCATTTCTTTGTTATCATTTTTCAGGGAGAATAATAATGGCTTATTATTAGGTAATTGAGCAACAGTTCAGTTATTTCAGGTAGCAAAATGTCTTTATTCATGGATACAGAATTTCCATTACCTTAAGGACAAAAACAAACTTTGTGTACAATATCAAGGCCACAATCGGAAAGTATCTGGGGCTAGACCCATTTCTATTTGATTGGTTGATTATGTGCCAGCAAGTTGTTGTCAACTTGTAGGGACACATAGATAGCCTTTTGTCCATGATAATCTCTCCCTAACCTGTTCTATCAGGTCTTCCAATGCCACTGAACTGAGTCTTGCTGCTCATCTTCCTCTTCTCTTTCCTTCCACCTTTCCCAGAATTAGAGTCTTCTCCATAAAGCTAGGTCATTGCATAATGTAACTGGTTTGAATAGGTATAAGTTCTATACCATATTTCCTACCAGATCACAGTCAATATGTGATATAATTCCATCTGATATAATTCCTGTATTCATAAGATAAAATTTTGCCTCTTTATATTCAGAGAAACTCTGATAGAAGGTCAGAAATTTTAAGAGGTGAAATGAAGGCTTCAACCTTCTGCAAGACTTCATTTTGTCTCTTGTACACCCTATCAGAATTAAAATGCAATCTAGAAAAAGAAGAAGAAATCAAATGCAGCCCCATGCAGCCCCATTTTGGGACCCAAAGATTCTAGGGATCTTGGATGTACAGAGGCAAATTGAAGTCTTTCTGGACAGGTTAGATAAATTATTTTTTGTTTTAACATTTAAAATTGGGCTAGGTAAAATATTTCTGAGCTATAAGCAGTATTACAGAGGTAATGAGTTGCCCATCGTCTAGATCAGCAGGTTTGGGAAACTAGTTTGAATACATTTTAAAGAAACTATAAGGCTTGGGAACATTTCCAGAAAGTCATTTTTTTCCTTGTAATCTTGATAAAAATTTGCCCTTTACCTTTGACTTTCTTCCAAGAACAATGCAGGCAATGCCTGGACCTCACACACGAAAACAACAAACATTTGCTATAGTAAGATACAACCAAAATGTTAAGTTAAACCTAAGAGACCGACAAAGGACTGGTTCCTACATGAGTTGTACAAACACCAAAAAGAGTCTCGGCAATTTATGAACTAATGGAGACTTCTTTCACCTCATGCTCTCCAGATATTGCATCACGGGTATGATAAACGAGAACATAGCAGGGCATGATTGTGTATCAATCTAAGATTTGGTCTGCTGTTTCGTATTGATACATATATCACCATTAACTGGGTTCAGTAGTGGGATTCAAAAAAAATTACTACCAGTTCTGTAGTAACTGGTGAGCGTGGCTTGGTGGGCGTGGCGGGGGAAGGATACTGTAAAATCTCCATTCCGTCCCCTCCCCACTCCTGGGGGAAGATTACTGCAAAATCCTATTCCCTCCCCTCCCCACTAACCTCCTTCCCAGCTCCATTCTCCTGTGCAGGGCAAAAAAATAAGACCCAGCCAATCAGCTGGGACTTGGGAGGCAGAGAATAGATGGGGCGGGGCCAGTCAGAGGTGGTATTTGCCTGTTCTCCGAACTACTCAAAATTTCCGCTACCAATTGTACAGAACTGGTCAGAACCTGATGAATACCACCTCTGACTGGGTTCCCATCTAATGTTAGGCCACTCACAAGCTTAAATAACCATAACACCTGCTTATAAAAGCACAAGTTGAAACTCACAGAGACTGCCGTCATACAGCATGCTGATTGAAAAACAAATAAGCCTTGTATTTGAGTGCAATCTTCTATGAATGTATCATTACCATCACATCCACATGCAATGCCTGGCTGCTCTAAAGAGAAGGATCAGTTGCTTGAATCAGAAAGGAGAGCAGGGAATTTCGAATCAGAGAACTAGCATAGCCTGGAAGTTCCTCCGTAGCCATGGCTATCCCATGACAGATGGAAAATTGCTCATAAAATTGAGCCTGCTACCTGTTCCTGAGGCCTTTATACTGCCAGTTGGTTTCCACTAACAGGAAAACTTTCCTAAAATTTAGACAAAGATTTCTAAGCTAAAGCTGTTCTTTCAAAAACTCTTTGAAATTGTTTTGTTTTCTGTGAAATTGAGTGTAGGGTTCTTTTGGTTTGTTTTTTGCTGGGGTTTAGTTTTTTTTAGGGACAGTTTTTCAAATATAACTCCTTAATATTGTTTCCTCCAGAAGTAAAATACTGAATTCCTTCTTCTACATTATCCTAGATTTTTTTTGTGATAATGGGCTGTGATCATATCTGTATTGGAGGTTTCTGACCTGCAATAGATTAAGTAACCCGATCGCAGGGGATTTTTATTTTTTTTTTGCTGTGAGGGGGTTAATAAAATATTTATTTTAGTGACCTGCAGTTTGGAATGAA